CTCCAGCCCCTCCCTCTCCATGAACTCTCACCTTGTCCCCTTCCTCACCCGAAGGCCCGGCAGCTCCTGGGGGCCCTGGAAGCCCCAGGGGCCCTGGGGTCCCATCTTGGCCGGTGGGGCCAGGGGGACCACGTTCGCCCTGATGTGGGAGTAGAGGAGGGACATCAGGGCTAGGGCAGGAGCAGGGTCCTGGTATGTGGAATGGGGTGGGCAGAGCACTTACCGGGGACCCCTTCTCGCCTGCAGGGCCAACAGGGCCTTGGCCTCCACTTTGACCAGGAAGCCCAATGCCTCCAGCGGGGCCCACAGGCCCACGCTCCCCAGGGGAGCCCTGGAAACAGGGGTGAGGGATCAGGAAAAATAACAATAACAGTAGTTCTCGTTTCTGGAGGTTTTTCAAGCTGCCAAGCACTGAGTTTAAGCGATTACCAGCGCTTATCCAATCTGTTCCCCAAAAAGCAGGCCGAGAATGTTGTGAACACTTAAGTCAGGGCAAGTGCCTCCTCTAACCACAGCCCTCAGGGCTTCCTCCTCAGACAGAAAAAGGGAGAAGTCCTCCTGGCAGCCCACCAGGTCCTGCACAACCTGCCCTGACCCCTCCCTACCCTCACCTCCTCCTACTTTCACCCTCGCTCACTCCCCTCCAGCCACAGGGTCTCCATGCTGTTTCCTCCAATAAGCCGGGCACGGTCCAGCCTCAGGGCCTTTGCACATGCTGCCCCTCCGCCCAGAATGCTTTTCTCTGCACCTCCACAGGGCTCCTTCCTTACCTCCTCAGTCTCGACTCAAATTCTCCTTCTCAGGAGGCCTTCCCTGACCAGCCTCTCAACTGCTCTTCCCCCCTCTCTCTGCTGCTTTGTTTTGCGACATTCGTCATTGCTCATTTCTCATCTCCCCAACTAGAATGTAACCTCCAGCAGAAAGGAGGGTTTTGTTTTGCTTTTTGTTATATATATATATATTTGTTATATGTATATATATACATATTTTATTCCACAGGGCTCCTTCCTTACCTCCTCAGTCTCGACTCAAATTCTCCTTCTCAGGAGGCCTTCCCTGACCAGCCTCTCAACTGCTCTTCCCCCCTCTCTCTGCTGCTTTGTTTTGGGACATTCGTCATTGCTCATTTCTCGTCTCCCCAACTAGAACGTAACCTCCAGGAAAAAGGAGGGTTTTGTTTTGTTTTGTTTTGTTGTTGTTGTTGTTTTAATATATTTTTATTGATTTTAGAGAGGAAAGGAGAGGGAGAGAGAGATAGAAACATCAATGATGAGAGAGAATCATTGATGGGCTGCTTCCTGCACTCCCCCCACTGGGGATCGAGCCCTCAACCTGGGTATGTGCCCTTGATTGGAATCGAACCGAGGACCCTTCAGTCCACAGGCCAACGCTCCACCCACTGAGCCAACCCAGCTAGGGCTAAAAAGGAGGTTTTACATGTTCTTGTCTGGCACACAGGTGAGCATGTGTCAGGGCGGTCATCTGGTTGAGTTATGTGATAACCTATGAGATGGGCTATGTTACAGATGAGGAAATGAGGCTCAGAGTGACATGACTGCCCGGCCAGTGAGTGACAGAGTTGGATGTGGCCCAGGCCTGTCTGACTCCAAAAACAGTGGGCTTCATCATGACAATGCCCAGCTTTCCAGACACCCCAAGTTCCTCCCCCCTGCTCCCTGCCCAGCAGATGGGGTTGCACTTACATTGGCACCGGTGGGACCCGGGGGGCCCTTGTCACCCTTCAAACCAGTAGGTCCCTGAAGGAGGAGAAGATTCACAGTCAAAAGACACCCCCCCAGGTATCCCCTAAGTCCTGTCTTCACTTTGGGGGGCTCATAGTTCCCACCTCCTTCCAGGCACTGAGGTTTGGGGGGCGGTCTCCTCCAGGTCCCTCCTGCTGTTATGCCTTTATTTTCACAGTCACTCCCCCCCCCCACGATGCCACACCATGTCCCTGCCCTGAGCCCCCCACTTCCTTCTCTGCTTCAGGATCCAGCACACACAAGAGGGCTCCGAAGGATACTCACAGGGTCCCCTGGGGCTCCTTGGGGGCCAGGGAAGCCCCGCAGTCCAGGTGGTCCTTCCTTCCCAAGGGGACCCAGCGGCCCCAGGTCCCCCTGCAGGAGTGCAGAGGAGGAAGGTCAGGCTCCGAGAGGGTTGTCGCCCCCAATCTGTGAGCCTGCCCTCCCCTGTGGGCTAGTTCTGAGCCCTCGATGGGGCCATTGAGGGGCCTTTGGGGCCCCTCTGCCAGGTCTCCCACAGGCAGGGTCTCACCTTGGCCCCCTCTCTGCCCTCCAGTCCCGGGAGACCTTGTTCACCAGGAGGGCCGGGAGGGCCGGGCGGGCCCCTCTCGCCCAGAGGCCCTGCTTCTCCTGTCTTTCCCTGGAGATGAGGAAGGCGCATCTTGAACGGAGGTGGTCTGGGGTGGGGGGTCTGTCTGAGATCCACTCCCCCCCCCAAAATATCCCCCAACTGGTACAACACTGGGGGAACTTGTGGGGTCCACTCTGACCTGAGGACCCACGACGCCGGCTGGACCATGTGGGCCTGTTTGACCTTGAAAGCCCTGGGAAGAAAAATTAAAAGGAGCTGTCACATGAGGGTGGGGGGCAGAAATGGAAAGCCCAATGGGGTCAGAGGTCAAATGGTCACTCACCAATTCTCCTCTCTGTCCGGGGTGCCCAGGTCGCCCGTCTTTCCCCTGGGGGCCCTGAAGGACAAGGCGGGAGAGAGTTGAGGCACAAATAAGGAGCCTATCCAGTCCCCAGCTCCCGCCCACCCTCACCGGGGTGAGCTCACTTACAGGGGGGCCCTTCGGCCCAGAGAATCCAGGGGGCCCTTGTAGGCCTGGGAGGCCCTGAAATGGAACAGAAGTCATTACTCACCCCCTTGCCTGGCTGTCCTCAGCTCCACATCATGACAAGAGCTAGCACACACTGACGCCTTCTGCATGCCGGGCACAGGGCCTGACACAGAGTCATTTCATTCACCACTGCAGCCCTTGGGGTAGGGACCGTGGTTAGTCCCATCGTGCAGAGGGGGACACTGAGGCCCAGAGAGGTTCGGTGATCTGCCCAAGGTCACCCGGCAGGTAAGTGGCCAAGGTAGGACTTGAACTCATGGCTCTGACCTCAGAGGCTGTGCTCTTTCCACTGCGTTAATGAGGAGGCTAAAAGGCTGATTCCAATGTAACCCTGATATTTGGAGGGGGTCGGGGGGCGGGGGGACTAGCAATCTGAATCCAATGCCAGCCAGCCCAGTGTACATTCTTGATAACCTATAATTAAGTCACTACCTCTTTCCCAGAAACTGGTCTTGCAGAACCTGTTACAGAGGCCATAAAACTGTGAACAGTGCACTGCCCCAGAGGGAGGGTTGTTAATGCTGGCACCAGGCCAGACCATCAGATATGGCCTGGAGACCCCCCAACACCTGGGGGCCTTCCTGCAAAGCCCATGAAAAGGACCGGAAGCATAATCCATATTTTCAGGACAAAGACCCCAGAAAGATATAAAAGAGAAGCCCCCTGCATGTTACTTTACTCAGATTTGGAAAGTTATTCCCTGAGTTCGCCGGCGTAAATAAACAGTGTCACTCCTTTTCTCTAAAGTGACCCTTGGTTTTTCTCTGGTCTTCTGCAACATTATAATGTCTCCCTACCTCCTGGATTTGTCTCCTCCCCAGAAACGCGCGCGCGCACACACACACACACACTCACACACTCACTCACCTTTTCTCCAGGGATTCCAGGGGCCCCGTCCTGGCCCACATCGCCCTAGGACAGAGTGAATGAGATTCAGGCCGCAGAACAAACTCAACTGGGAGGGACTGGGAGGGACTGGGGAGCCTGGGCAGAGGGTCTGCCTGGGGAGCCTGATCTCCCACCCACCCCATACCTTGGGGCCTAGTGGCCCTGTGGTGCCCGGCTGCCCCCTCTCTCCACGGGAGCCCTGAATAGAAAAGAAGCAAAGATTAGAAGTGAGAGGGTGGGGGGCCTAGGAGATGAGATCAAGTCCTCTGGGTCCCATCCCTCTTGTCCCACCAGGGACACCGACATAACCCAAATCCTCTTCCTTGCCCACTCCTGACCTCCCCAACTCCCCTCTCCTAGTCCCTCCTTCCAGCCCTGCCCCCCAAGACCCTGTGGGGTGGGGGAGGCTCTCCATTTCTTACAGGCAGTCCCCGCTCTCCTTCCAGTCCTGGCTGCCCAGCCTTCCCCTGGAAAATCAATCAGGTGAGGGGGAGCAGAAGGGAGTTACTGTGCAAACACATGACACAAACACACAAAGGAACCCAGTCACAGACCTAGAAAGATGTCTGCCACCATTTATTCACAAGCCTTTCATACACACACACACACACACACACACACACACACACACACACACACACACACACACACACACACACACACACACACACACACACACACACACACACAAGATCACACAAGGATCACAGACATGTATGATTGCACCTATAGGATCCACGCATATAAGCATGTTTGTCCACGCGGACACCTATTTATCATAGTTGCACCCATGACTGCATGCCGTCGTGACAAGCATTGGGTGATCGCAGCCTCGGGCGGACATGTGAAGCCCGTCATGCAATATGTTCCTTGAACACGTGTACACTCAATGTAAACACATACATGCATGGGTTTATGTGAAGGCGTGGTCCTTGTAAGCACAGCACATACATAGACACAATGTCCATTTACTCAGCAGCAATGCACACAGAGCAGAGTAATGCATGCATGTGCACGCAATCGCTCAGTGTACACAGAAACACACACACATGTATATCGTATCCTTTCACACACGTATGCATGCTCCTCACACACATGTATGTCCACAATCACACACTGTGTGCAGGCTCATGCCCCGTTCACTCAGTCACAGGCCCACAGGCTGCAGCACCCAACCCCACCCCATCTAATCTGCACTGAGAGAGGCACACGGGACACACGTGCACACATGTATGCAGGAGCACCTGAGCCGCAATGCCAGGCGGGGTCACCTACATGTGTCTTGCATTGCACATGGGAGGAAGTATGCCTTCAAGTGCTTCCAGGCATGGACACAGACACCCAGCACCACCCCCCCCCCATCAGGCACAGCCACGGATGCTCTCGCCCAAGTAAGCCCTTCCCTCCCTGCCCCTCACGACTCACCCGCCTCCCTTTCTCTCCTATTGGCCCCAGGGGACCAGGCAGGCCCGTGGATCCCTGAATAGAGAGAATCGGAGAGAAGGGGTGGGGTGAGGAGAGTGGGTGGTGGGCTACACTGGCCCCTCACCCCATTCAACCACCCCATCCCATCCTTTCAGGCCTTTCCAGGCCACTGATTCCAGAAGCTTCTTTGGTCCTCCAGCCCGTCTCCTCCAGAGCGGCCTTCTGCCCTCCTCTCCTCTTTCTCTCTCTCTCTTTCTCTCTCTCTCTCCCCCTTGCTCACTCCACTCCAGCCGCACGGGCCTCCTCCATGCTCCTCAGAGGACACGGATGCACTCCTGCCCGAGGCCTTTGCATGGCCGCTCCCTTCGCCTCAGATGCTCTTCTCTCCCGTCCCCACGGGCCCGCTACTCCTCATCACTTAGACATCATGCAGGCGGCTGGCTTCCTGCCACTTTCCTGACCACCACTTCCTCTGAGTCACCCTCCGTCTACCGCATTGTCCTATTTTGTTTTCCCCATCATATTCGTATTGAAATGACCTTATTCACTTGCTCCCTTATTCAACATCTGTTTTCCCCACGAGGACACAGCGCTCCGGTCTTATTCCCCGCTGTCTGGTGTGCCGTGGGGCTTCCTCGCCTGTTAACTAACCCGCTGCAGCCCTTCCTGCTCTGCCCTCCACCCGGGGAAGACAGCACAGGCTCTGACGTCCCTCCTGCCTCTCACGGTGCTTGTGATCCCAGACCCACCACTGTGTGGCCCTGGGAAAATGGCTTAACTCCCTGGGAACCGTCTCCCTGTCTGTAGCCAACCACATCCTCCTCACAGGGGTTTGGGAGGCTTCCGTGGGGTGCAGTAGAAAGTGACCTGCACGGTGCCTGGCACACAGTGAGTGCTCAAGCGACGTCAGCTGTCGTCGTGATTCCTGATGATTACGCTCTGCTGTGGGCTGGGTAGCCCCCCTCAACATCCACACCTGAAGCTCTACTCCCCCCTGTGACGGTATTTGGAGGTGAGGCCTTTGGGAGGTATGGAGTCATGTCAGTGGAGCCCTCAGGAATGGGATCGTTGCCCTTAAATAAGAGACTAGACCTTTCTTTCTCTCTCTCTCTCTCTCCCTTCCCTCCCCCCCCCCCCCCCCCAGGGCGGGGAGAGGGTGCAGGAAACAGCTGATCAATAATTCTCTCTCATCATCGATGTGTCTATCTCTCTCTCCCTCTCTCTTCCTCTCTGAAATCAATAAAAATTTATTTTGTTAAAATATATTGTATTGATTTCCCACAGAGAGGAAGGGAGAGGGATAGAGAGCTAGAAACATCGATGAGAGAGAAGCACCGATCAGCTGCCTCCTGCACACCCCCCACTGGGGACGTGCCCACAACCAAGGCACATGCCCTTGACCGGAGTTGAACCCGGGACCCTTCAGTCCACAGGCCAAGGCTCCATCTACTGAGCCAAACCGGTTAGGGCTAAAAATTTATTTTTTAAAAATTGCTGTCAGCTTAGGCATGGGCAGGATAACTGTGCCAGATTGAGAGGGCAAAAGCATGGAACTCTGGAAGGATCTACACTGAGATGTCTTCCCAAGCGTCCCTAAACTTCTGCTCCACTTTATATAAACGAGAACTATAAATCATGAATGATGTAATATGGGTGTAGCTGTGGCAGAGAGACGTGTCTAATCAGTAGCCTCATCCATCAAAACACTGGCAAGCAATGTACATTTTTACATAAGTGCATTTTATTGTAAGTTATAACTAATTCAAGATATGTAAGATATGTCTTTTTTATGATTCTCCTCCTTGCTGACTTTGTTTAAACCAATTTCAATCACACCAAGTAAGAAGGATCCTATAAATTTTTTATCATAAATATTGTCATTATTATAATCAAATGGATGAAATAAATAGTACTGGCATCTCCGTTGTGCAACTGAAAAAAAATGGGCTCAAGAAACTTGCCCAGAGAGCATTTGAGATCTTGCTTCCCAGCAATTGTCCTCAGTTTGGGCTCCAATAAATTCTTATAAAAATTCAGAGCGAGAGAGAGAGAGAGAGAGAGAGAGAGAGAGAGAGAGAGAGAGACTTGCCCAGGGTTACTTAGCAAGTAAGGGGTGACTTGCCCAAGGTCACATAGAAGCTAATGAGTTGGTATTTGAGCCCAACTCTGTTACCAAAGCCGATACCTTATGCTGTTTATCAATGACCCAGGGGGTAGAGTGCTCAACTCCCGGACCACAGCCCAGACCCCCAGATGTTAATCAGTCTCTGAACCCTGCCCTTGCCCACCTTCAGCCCCCTAGCTTCTTACCTTAGGGCCTGGACGTCCTGGGTAACCTGGGAGACCTGGCACCCCAAGTTTGCCCTACAGAGGAATTATGGAACAAGGTTTAGAAATTGCAACCTGGAGGTCAGGGGGGAGGGGGCAGTTTGGCTGGGGCATATGGAAGGCACAGCAGGGTGAGATCCTCTCTCTCTCTCCCCACCCCCGCTTCCACTCTCTAAAAATCAATGGGAAAAATATCCTCAGGTGAGGATTAACCAAAAAACAAAGCCTGTGGCATGTGGTGGCTACGGAACAAAAAGCAGGTAATGTGCATGGCATTGCTCTGTAGTGCTGAGCGGAGGAATCAAAAGAGATGGTAAGGAGGGTCGCAGGCTCCTGAGGTTGGAGAGAAAAGGGCAGAGGGCAGAAGGCAAAAGGCCAGGAAGCTGTGACCACAGGATGAAAAGCTGAAGGATAGACTGGAGGGGTGACCAAGGTCCATTCACCTTCTCCCCAGCTGAGCCTGGGGGCCCCTCCTCACCAGGCAGCCCCTCCTGCCCTTTCAGCCCTTCAGGACCATCCTCTCCCCGGGGACCTGGGGGTCCCGGGTGCCCCTGGAATAGAAAGGAGAGGCCCTCATATCAGTTCCTTGTCACTCTTACTCCATGAAGCCCCTGGTCTTAGCCCCAACTCACCCCCTCCCTGTCTTCCCCAAGTCCCCCAAACCCACAAGACCCCTTATCTGGAGATCACCTTACCCGATCTCCTTTAAGCCCCCCATCACCCTTGAAGCCTGGGAAGCCATCCTCTCCCTGAATGGGAGAGAGTACAGAGGTCAGAGGTCAGGGTTCAGGTGAGGTTCACAGGCAGAGCCCCCGTATCAGGGCTCCCCCACAAGGAATCCCCTCCCTTCTCACCTTCTCGCCTTTCTCCCCCTGGAGGCCCCGGTTGCCAGAGGTACCCTGGAAAATAAAGAAGCTCTCAGGTCCTTCCCCTGCTTAATTAAGGAGGGCCCCAAACTCAATCCCCTGCCCCCCAAAGCAGGTTCCCCAAAACCAAGAGGATGCTGGACTCGAGTGGGGTAGGGGCAACCCACTAGTGTGTATGCGGGAAGCTGCTCCCTCCCGCCCTTTCTCACTGGCAGCCTCCCAAGGTCTCTGTGTGGGGATGTGCAGGGAAGGCCAAATTTCCAAGTAATTCATTGCCATCTCCAGGGACACTGTGTCCACATTTCCTCCTGGCAGGAGAAGGAGGCTGAACATTCCAGGCCCCAGCCTCACTCTAAAGGCAAAGGAATGCTCCCCATTGTACTGGCTACAATGTGACTCTGTGCCCGGCAACAAGGCACGTCTGTGCTTGGGGACAGCGAGATGGCTCAGTGCAAGCCCAGATGCCGCTCACACCAAACTCTGGGCTCCGGCCCCAGGGAAAGCTGCACTTGGCTACGGTGTGACTGAGCTCAGAGATACCACGAAATGACAGTCGGATACCATCTAATGATGTGTTTTGACAATAGCATGACTGTGTCTCCTTCCACAGGGAGACACAATGTAACCGAGCTCGGTGACCACAGTGAAATTGCACTTGGATGTAATCTCCTCTGTGCTTTGACAACAGCCTGGCCTTCTCCAGGTACAGAGCGACTCACGTGACCCCAGTGTAACTGTTCTCTGGCCCTGGCGACCATGTAACTGGACTCAGCTGTCACAGAGGTTTCAACTACATATAACGACGCCTGACTACGATGTAACTGAGCGTGGCCACCCACAGGACTCTGTGGCCTGCTGTACGATAGCCTCCTCCCTGGTTAGACTGTAACCAAACTTGCCTACGATGCCAAAATGTGAAGAGCTGACCCTCGGCTACCACCCCACGCTGTTCGTAGACCACAGGTACAGTGTACCTGTACTTGGCCACAGTGTAACTGGATTTGGCTGCCACATAGATGTGAATTCCCACGTCCCTGTTCTTAGTCAACGGTGGCCTCTGTTTAGCCACAGTGCGGCTCTCCGCTGGTCCCCACAGTACTGTGCTGGTAGATGGCGTGACTCTGGGCTTGAGCTTTGAAACAACCCCTGCCTGACCACAATGTGCTGACCTGGACTTGGACGTGGCGTATGTGCTCACAGTGCAATGGGTTCGGCCGCAAGTGGACTGAACTGTTCCCAACCACAAGGCAATGACGACATTAGAATGCTGTCCTTTGGCTGTCCAGCTCCAAAGTAACACACACGCTCCTATATCTGGCCGCTCAGCCCCAAACCCCACTCTCCCACTGCACCGTGCCTGGCAGACTGATTCCTCTCATCACACATGCGGGTGTTTCTGATGGAGCAGGTTCCCCCAAGCCGATGCTGGCGAGTCACCTACCTTCACACCCCGAGGTCCAGGATACCCCCTCGGGCCTGCGGACCCTGCTGGGCCCTGCGGAGAAGATGAGATTAGTGCCATCCTGTCCTTCCCCCTCCCCTGCTCTCAGGGCCCTCATCTCTCTCCTCAGAAGCCCCCGACTCCTGGCCCTGACTGACCAAGCCTTTTCCCCAGCCCAGCCTCTCTCCAGATCACTTACCTGGGTCCCTTTCTCTCCTGTGGGGCCCTCGTGACCTGGGTGACCCTGGGGGGGGGCGGGGCGGGAAGACATCCTAAGTCGTCAGAGACCCACATTGACCACCCAGATTCCCAAGCCTCCCTTTCTTCCTCCTCCTTCCAGCATCCAGCTCTCACCGGAGGGCCGTCAGATCCCATGAGGCCTGGAATCCCTGGGTGTCCGGGGGGACCCTGAAAGATAGTGAACAGGAGGAGACAGAGGGTCTCAGAGCCCGGGTTCCACCAGGAACATGCCGCCACATCAAGATTCCAGAACAAGCAGACCCCTCACAGGACATCTAACCCCAGCTCTGCCCCAGCTTGCCTTGTGGCCCCGGCTCAGCCCCCTCGCCTCCCTGAGCCTCAGAAATCCTCTGCCTCTGGGAGGGTTGAGCCAGGCATGGAGGAACAGTGTGCGAGATGATAAAGTGGGGGCTCCCCAGCCACACCCCTTTCTTTAGAAGTCCCTCCCACCCACAGCTTCATCTGAAGAGTGAAAGGCCTTGGCCGGCATGAGGTGACTCCCTCTGTCCCTCCAACAGAGGCAGGCCACTGACCCAGCTGGGCCCATCAGACTCTCTCCTGAAATTTACCGGAGAGCAACTGGGATCAGCTGGATTGGGGTCAAGAAACTACAAGGTCATAAGGAGCCTTGGTGACAAAGCAGCTCAAGATCACGTAGAAGGGAAAGGTGGGGTAAGGACACACTGAAATGCGTGCCTGCCAGGGCAGAAGAAACATGGGCAGAGGGGCAAGCTGGCAGCACAGGGCCCAGAGAGAGGGCTTTCCTGACCCACGAGTCTCGGTAATATTTTCTATGACCGGCTTCCGAGGGTTCCCCTGGGCCCTGACAATACCCCCTGTGTGAGCTAGCTTTGGTGGCTTTCAGTTTCTTGCCACCTACCCTTCCCCAATGATGGCACTGTGTCCCTCTGCCTCGTTTAGGAAATGTTGTGCTTTATCATTATCCAGAGCTAACAAAAGGGGCCGGTGGGGGCTTTTCCTGCAGAAGCAAGGCCTGGGTGGGGGAGGGGGAGACGGAGCTGTCACTCACCTTTTCCCCAGGAGTGCCAATGGGTCCCTGGGGGCCAGGGAGTCCCTGAGGACATAAAAAAAATAAATAAAAAATAAAAAAGAGGGTAAAGGAAGGCATGAGAAAGGGGTGGTGAGAGCTGCAGCTGGGGAGGCGGGGCGGGGGGGTGGGTGGTCTGTGACCTGGGCTGGCCATCAGCACCCACATGATTGGGAAAGGAGCTCAAACCTGGGACCCGGGGTTCCCCTGCTGTCCTGGGGGTCCTGGTTCTCCTGGAGGACCCTGGGGAGAAAGGGGGGTTTGGTGAAGCTGGAGGGGATCACAGTGTTGAGGTGTCCGTGAAGCTGATGCGGGGAGGGGCTAATGGGAGCAGACAAGGATACGGACGGTCACGGGGTCGGAGGGTAGAGCACCTACCACATTTCCTTTGGCACCTGGCGCACCGTCAATTCCCACCGCGCCCTGCGGGAGAGAAACTGTGAGACCGGGAGACACACGCGTGCCTGCGTCTGCGACCCTGCGCGGTGCGGTGGGAAGTGAGTGCACAGAGAGGAGCAGGCAGCGGGAGTGGACATGCGGGGGAAGGTGAGAGGGCAGCAGGGATGCGGATGCAGAGAGACAGTGACGTTCTCACCGGGCTGCCTGGGGGCCCAGGGGAGCCTCTGGGGCCAATCAGTCCTCGGGGGCCCTGCAAGGAAGTAGGAGCATTATCCCCGCATCGCTGCTCTGAGGCCCCATGATCCTGACTTCCGTCCCCTGCACCAGGCAAGGGGTCCAAGGGTCCCTGATACTCACCGGCTCCCCAGCCTGGCCAGTGGGCCCCGGAGGTCCCTCTGCTCCCTGTGGGAAAGCATCATCATTGGGGAAG